ACTGGACTACAAGGTCGGTGGTTCAAACTCACCAGCTGCTCCTCAGAAACCCTATACAGGGTATCTGTGAGTTGGAACTGACTCAACAGCACTTAACAACAACAGTACTTGGTTCAGTGGCCCATGTCTTTTCTAATCCTCCCTGATTTGCTCCTAGCTACTGGCTATTTCAAGTGCCAGCACACTTCTGCACCAGGAGAATTCTTTCAGAAATCTACTCAGCCTGTCGGTCAGGAAAGAACAACTTCTGCAATCTAGGAGCTCTCAAGAAGACATGAAACATCACAGCACAAAGCTTAAGGCCTAGCTACTGCATTCTCATTTTCTTCATTTCCTGTTTCTAGATTGGTTTCTTTGCAGGGTGAGTGACAATTTGGACACAGCCTTCTCACTGACAAGGATGTGGTAGTGCCTTTGTTCAGCATTATTCCATTTTAGGACACCATATTTGAAATGGCAAAAGGATCCTGGCCATGTCATTCTGCTCCAGATGTGGCTGTGCCTTTTCAGAATGCGCATGTTCGTTCTGTAGGCCTTTCATCTCCCATCTGGGGATCCTGCAAACCATGACTGTAAGATAAGTTAAAGGAGACATGCATAAATCCACTGTCATTGAGTTGGTTCCAACTCATGGTGACTATCTTTGGACAGAGTAGCACTGCTCCTTTGGGTTTCCGAGAGTGTAATCATTTATGGGAGCAGATAGCCTCATCTTTCTCCCATGGAGCAGCTGGTGAGTTTAAACAATTGACCTTGTAGCCAGCCCACCATTCAACCCACCACACTACCAGAACCAGCAATAGTGTGCTCTGAATTGATACAGAGCAAAATTCAGAGTCCCACAAAAAAGCACATGCAAAATGATGTTTTCAAATTGACCACTCAGTTTATTTTTCTCATACTTGGTATTCAGGTTTATGAGGACTTTCCCCCAAGCAGGTATTACCTATTCATAGACAAATGGAAAACTGAAAGACCCACAAATGGAAAAAGACATGACCTACCACAGTAGTATTCAAAGAACATTTTCCTGACCATCTGAACCATAAAGGAACCAGTTAGAAAACTAAATGATTGCACCCTCCCCTGCTTCTCCCCTGCCTCCCCCTGCGTTCCCTCTTTCCTGGCTCCCAGACCTACCCCATCAGAAGCCCTGGAAGCAGCCCTGTGATTTGTGTTTGAATAGCCCTGCAGGTAATTAGGCTGCAGCTCAAGTGTGAGATTCAAAAGTAAGCTTCCACTTCTCTGAAGGCAAAAAAAAAAAAGTGGGTAATATTCAAATGATAATATTCTCAGTACATTATGGGACCCAAATCTCTAGAGATTTAGACTCAGTCAGGGTCATACTGTTATTGCTGTTGTAAAGTACTGTCGAGTTGGTTACGACTCAGTGACCTTATATAGGATTTCCACTGGGTGGTTGGTGAGTTCGAACTGAGCTTGCAGTCTAGCGCATTATCCCGCAGAACCACATATGTTGTTAAATAACAATCCCTTAAACAACTAGGTTCTTTTATGTTAAATTCAAGAGCTTTGAAGTATTTTAAAAATAAGAACGGAGAGAATATAAAGTTTGATTTGGTTTAGACTAGTAATAATTATTATAATCATTTGTATGATCACCGTTTCTAATGCCTAAATACCAGATTTTTTAAAATTACATATTAATATATTTTAAACATGCTGTTAAATGCCCTCAAGTTGGTTCTGACTAATAGTGACCCTATGGCGCTGCGGATTATTGTACGAACCGACTCGAAGGCACTAAACAATAACAAACAGGGTTTCCAAGGAGCAGCTAGTGAGTTTGAATCTCCGGCTTGTGGTTACGAATGGATATGAATCGGAGCCAACTAGATGGCACCAAAAAAACAACAATCGACTACTTGCAATAGGCCACTATGTTTGTTAGCTTTTCTGTTTACTATGTGTTCATAGTACTTGCTCAGTTTTCTATCGAATTGTTCATTCCTTTTTTTAACTGAGTTGTAAGATTTCTTTGTGAATTAAGATATGCAGTCCTTTTTATTCTTACTTGTTGCAGATATTTCTTCCACATGCCACTTATCTTTAAAATTTTGTGCACTCATTTTGTTTCAACTATTAATGCAATGAAATTCATTAATAATTTTCTTGTGGGCTACTGTGTACATCTAGTTTTTAAATGGCAGCTATTCCAGAGTCTACCCAGTTAAAAAAAAAAAAAATCTTGGACCTGATTTCAGTCTATAAACCCACTCCTCACTTACTGATATGATTTAGTTGCAAAGTTAGTTCATTTGACAACTGGCATTATACAAAAATATAGATTGACCGCATCAGATTGCACAATGGAGGATGACTACATCATTACAGAACTGCCAAGTCACTGAGTCAAAATGATACATGAACACTGACATCAGAGCCAGTGTTGTTTTGTCTTGTACCTCAGCAGCATTCATACTGGCAGATGTGCATCGTTTATGCACTAAACAGTTACATAGTGAATTGTTTATTATTATTGTAAATGCAAAACGTTGGATGAGGAGATAGTTGGTAAGTGAGGAGTAGGTATACTAGGAACTCCAGGTGTGGAGCTGTAGGATCAACACTGGACTGCGAACCATAAGGTCAGTGATTCAAACCCACCAGCTGCTCCTCAGAAACCTTGTACAGTGTCGCTATGAGTCAGAACCGACTCAACATTTAACAACAACAATAAAAGGTGTACTTTGTCCTTCCGAGGAGCACCTGTCCTTGCAATGTGGAGCCTCTAAAGACAGTATGTGACAGGCAGGGGAGCTCATGACAGGACTAGAGGATCCCAAGGGCATCCAGTTGTCATCTGATTTTTTTTTTTTTTTTGCAGCAACTGAGTTCCTTGGTAACATATATGGCCAAGGGTAAAAGCTCTGCCACCACAAAAATCCACTTTCATGGGGCAAAACCCTATTAGAATTGTTCATCCTTTGTGCTCAGATCTAGAAGCTAGCTGAGGAGCCCAAACTCTCTGCCATGTTGAGTTACAGTTTCTGGATTTTCCCCTGATAACAAAACTCCTGCAGAATGAGGATTACAATGCCCTCTTCCATCAGTGACATCCAGGCCAGAGGACCGCTCAACAGAAACAGCTTCTCTCCCACACTGCCCTCCCTCCCTCATGGCCCTGACTTGGAAACTAGCACTGGAGTAGGACAGAACAACTGCCTCTGGGCTTCTGCTGTTTAAAAGTCCTAATTTCAGGTGCTTCTTCATACAACAACAACAACAAAATCTTCATATTTTAGAATGAGGGAGGGCACAGAAGGAATTATTTGAGATGAGGCCAGAGAGTTGGGAATTTCCTATTTCTGTGGATCTCCCCCAACAGCTCCATCCCATCATACAGTCTTGATCTTTGCCCAAACAGAATTAATGTAGATAATGGGAACTTGCTGCAGTACAAAATTCAGATGGCACCATTGCTTTTAAAGAGTAGCTGCAAGTAGCCTAGGACCAGAGCACAACCTTATCTCGCTGCCATTGTTGGGTGCTCTGAAAAGCAGTCATTGGCCCCATCTCGCAATGCTTGTCACTATTAAGTTATTCTATGGCAGGAGCTGCGGTGTCTCAAATGCCTCATCTTTGGTGAGTATACAGCCCCTTGAACAGCTTCATGGCTGTGTCAACAAGTCTTCCATCCCAGAATGTTCTGTATAACCTTATTCCCATACCAATTTCTGTTTTATCATTTTTGATTGCATGGTTCATTACCAAAACAAAAAGTAGATTGATGTTAAGAATACACATGTCGACTTAAAATAAAATGAAAATAAGTTCTGGAACTAAGGGAGTGAGTACCAGGGACCACCTAGCTCTTTCTCTCACCTTTAGGGGATCTCTCTGTTTCTGTGCACATTTGCTCTGTCCCGAAACTATACACTATTCTACTTCTCCTCCTTCACCTTCCCCTTCTCCCTCCTTCACTCGTCTTCCTACTTTCTCTCCTCCTTTCCTCTATCCCTTGATTTTTCCATCTTTTTACACCTTATATTGCTTATTAGGTTATTGTTTGGAGTAACCATATCCCAATATAGTTTTTACAGTTAAATGTTGTCATTGTTGTTAAGTACTGTCTAGTAGGTTCCGACTTATAACAACTTTATAGGGTTTCCTTGTTCATGGGAGCAGAAAGCCTTGTCGTTCTCCTACTCAATTAAATGTGGTGGTGGTGGTTATGAACCATGGAGTTGATTCCAACTCATAGCATCCCTGTACATGGTTTCTGAGGCTGAAAATCTTTATGGGAACAGAAAGCCTCATTTTTCTCCTGTGGAACAGCTGGTAGTTTTGAACCATAAGGTTCGCAGCCCAATTCATAGCCACTACACTACCAGAACTCTTTCAATTAAATGTACTAGGAACAAAATTAAAATGGTTGTATTTAAATCAACGTTCTCTTCTCTTTACACCTCACATGTCTCCTCAGATTGGACTGATCTGGAAATCAGAATTCCTCTCTTCAAAGCCTGAGACTGACCTAGACATGCTAGTGGATGAAAACATGGCACATTCCTTCGGGAGTAGTATGTTATTCAAATGACAACTATCAGCTAAATTTATAACAGTATAATTCATACTATTTGGGGTTTTCTTGTAGGTTTTATTCCCCTTTTGTAGTCAAGAAGGGTAAAAACATTTAAAAAATCTAGTCTAGCTATCTAAAATTATTACTATATATATATATATATATATATATATATATATATATATATATATATATATATATATATATATATATATATATATATAGTAATGGAAGAGCTCTGGTAGCATAGTTGTTACGAATTGGGCTGTGAACCACAGGTCAGCAGTTCAAAACTACCAGCTGTTCTGCGGGAGAAAGATGAGGCTTTCTGCTCCTGTAAAGATTTACAGCCTCGGAAACCCCGTACAGGGTCACTATGAGTCGGAACTGACTCCACGGCACATAACAACAACAACACCAATTAATATGTCATGTTTAATTTTATTTCTTACAGGCAGTTTCAAAAGATGGTCCATGATATTAAGAACAATGAAGGTGGAATAATGAACAAAATTAAAAAGTAAGTTAAACTCCAGAGCACTTTATAAACCTTCTTATTATGGCAGCCTGTGCTAAGTAGAAGAATAGAAAGTTCTGTTACCCGAATAATGGGTTGTGATCTCTCTTACTCATGGCTAGAGTCCACAGTAGTTAGTTCCTCAGAAAACCTGGCAAGTCAGTGGAGTGGTGCTCAGGGCGTTTCGCTTCTTCCTTGCTTTGCAGGAAAGGTGAGGTATGCCTATTCAAGGTGCTCAGTAAACATTAGAGCAGAAAACTCAGTTTCTGTAACAATTTACTAAGACTAGCCAGGACACCCTTGGAAAACTCTAAGTGAGAATTTACTAGAACACAATTTGGCTGTCTTTAGGGGTCTATATGTTTTCCATAGTTTGATATCTGTTTTCTCAATGCTTGCCTTAGAATGTTTTCAGTTGGTGCTTGGAAAAGAAAAGCTACAATTGCTAATTTTCCTCTATACCTAAAACCTCTTGAGCTTTTGTTTTTGTTTTTTAAAGAAAATAAAAATTGGACATACGTGCACTTCTCACTCAAAATATAAGTCAAAGGAAATAGTATTTTTTTACAAGCTTAAGTTTTTCATTTCTGTTTTTAATGACTATTTCAAGGGACCCCTGGTGGTATGGTTAAGCATTGGCTGCTAACCCACCTAGTTTTGTGGGAGAAGGACATACCCATCTGTTCCCGGAAAGATGTCAAATACAGCATAAAAAACCCTATTGGGCAGTTCTACTATGTCTCGTGAAATCCCTCTAAGTCAAAAGCAACACCACAGTACCTAAAAACAACAATACATGTTCACCAGGAAGGGAAAAAGAGTCAGAATTGTATGAAGTCAAAATCTTCTACTTCCTCATGCCCCATCCTAACTCAGTTTCCAGATACAGCTGACGTGCCCATTGTCATGAGACAATGTGTATTAACATATAGATTACACACACACCAAAATTACAAAAACAAACCCTTTGTAATCAAGTTGATTCTGACTCCTAGAGACCCTATAGGACAGAGTAAAACTGCCCCATAGGATTTACAGGGTGGTAGCTCCATTTGCAAAGCACTGAACTGAGAACCACAAGGTCCGTGGTTCTGGTCCACCAGTAGCTCTGAGGAAGAAAGATGAGGCTTTCTGCTCCTGAAAAGATTGAAAAGCCTCAGAAACCCTATACAGGGTCGCAGTGTGAGTCAGAACCAACTCAAAAGCACTAATAACAATCTTCATGGGGAGTCCTGGTGTGGCACTGTAGAAAAAGCAATGGACTGTTAACCAAAAGGTCGGCAGTTCAAACTCACCAACTGCTCCTTAGAAACCCTATATAGAGTCACTATGAGTCAGAACTGACTCAAGGGCACTTAACAAGAATCTTTATGAGGACAGACTGACACATCTTTTGCCCATGGAGCAGCTGGTAAATTCAAACAGCTGACCTTTGGGTTAGCAGCTGAGCACTAAACCACTTTGCCATGAGGACTCACACACACACACACACACAC